CACCAACTCCCTGCCACTGCTACACCCCAACTCCCTGAGACTGCTACACCCCAACTCCCTGAGACTGCTACACCCCAACTCCCTGAGACTGCTACACCCCAACTCCCTGACACTGCTACACACCAACTCCCTGACACTGCTACACACCAACTCCCTGCCACTGTGACGCACCAACTCCCTGATAATGTGACGCACCAACTCCCTGACACTGCTGCACACCAACTCCCTGACACTGCTACACCAACTCCCTGACACTGCTACACACCAACTCCCTGACACTGCTACACACCAACTCCCTGACATTGCTACACACCAACTCCCTGACACTGCTACACACCAACTCCCTGACACTGTGACGCACCAACTCCCTGACACTGTGACGCACCAACTCCCTGACACTGCTGCACACCAACTCCCTGACACTGCTACACCAACTCCCTGACACTGCTACACACCAACTCCCTGACACTGCTACACACCAACTCCCTGACACTGCTACACACCAACTCCCTGACACTGCTACACACCAACTCCCTGACACTGTGACGCACCAACTCCCTGACACTGTGACGCACCAACTCCCTGACACTGCTGCACACCAACTCCCTGACACTGCTACACCCCAACTCCCTGCCACTGCTACACCCCAACTCCCTGCCACTGCTACACCCCAACTCCCTGAAACTGCTACACCCCAACTCCCTGACACTGCTACACACCAACTCCCTGACACTGTGACACACCGACTCCCTGACACTGCTACACACCAACTCCCTGACACTGCTACACCCCAATTCCCTGACACTGTGACACACCAACTCCCTGACACTGCTACACACCAACTCCCTGACACTGTGACACACCAACTCTCTGACACGGCTACACCCCAACTCCCTGGGACTGCTACACCGCAACTCCCTGACACTTCTACATGACTTGAGATCTTGAGTGGATTGTTGCCACTCGTGCTTATTGTCATTTCCCTAAGCTGTCTCTGTGGAATTCTCTCTTTCACTTCTGTAGATGTAACTTTGGTTAGGTAGGTAATACTGACTTCTGTCCAAAGTAGAACATAGGGTCACACACAACCACAAGAACTAGACACATAAATGGAGTTCAGTTCACTTACACTGAGCTGAACAATTACTCATGTAACTGTAGGCATGTAAGGCCTATTAGATGTACCCAAGACATTTGTACAGGGCTGCCCCATGAACACACTCCTGGAAGGAAGGAAGGAAGGAAGGAAGGAAGGAAGGAAGGAAGGAAGGAAGGACGATCATGAGGAAGGAATGGAGGAAGCCAAGGGAGACAAAGAGATCTCAATGTCAATATACAAGGAGCATTGAGATAGAGGAAGAAAAGATGATAAAAAGAGTGATTAGGGTACAACGATAGGCAAGGAGTGCGAGTTGGGTCAGAGTAGGGACAAGGAATATGATAGCAAGAGTGACCATGGGTTACATGTGGCAAAGGAAATGCTAGCATTACAATTTTCTGTTCGACCCTGAGCTATCCTTTCTCCCTCATATCCGCGCCACAACTGGCACCGCCTTCCATCACCTCCGGAACATCGCCAGACTACGGCACTACCTCACCCCTCACGCTGCTGAAACTCTGGTCCATGCCTTTATCACCTCAAGGCTGGACTATGGGAACTCTCTCCTCGCCGGCCTTCCCGGCACCTCCCTCCACAAGCTGCAGGTCATTCAGAACTCTGCAGCTCGTGTACTGTCCCGCACCAGGCTTCGGGACCACATCGCTCCCACCCTCGCTCGCCTCCACTGGCTCCCCATCCCCCAGAGGATCGAATTCAAGATCCTCATCCTCACCTACAAGGCCATTCACGGCCTTGCTCCCTCCTACCTCTCCGACCTACTATCCCCCTACTTACCTGCCCGTACGCTCCGTTCCTCTGGCTCCGGTCTGCTCCACATCCCCCGCCCCAACCGCCCTACCATCGGTGGCCTGGCCTTCAGCCTCTCAGCCCCCAGGCTCTGGAACTCCATCCCCCAGTGCCTTCGCCGCCTCCTCCCTTTCCTCCTTCAAGGCCGGTCTCAAGACCTTTCTCTTTGACCGTGCCTTCAGCTCCCCTCTCGACTCTCTACCCCCTCCTTGCTCCCTCCCTTCCCTCCCCTCACCCTGACCATTTCCCCCTTGCTCGGGTCCTGACCTGACTGTACAGTGCCTTAGGACGTCCTCCCGACGTGAAAGGCACTCAATAAATGGAATCTTGTTGTTGTTGTTCTCCATCACCTCTTTGGGGAGTATTATTAATGATAAAAATCCTTGTATTTGACAGAGCATATCACTTCATTGAGACATCTCGAAGCGCTTAACATGATATGCTGTAAAATGATATCATTGTGTGTATTTTGTGGGCAAATGCAGCAGCCAATTTTTCTCACAGCAAAGTCCTATTATATTCGGGGATTGTTGATCAGGACAGGAGGAGAAACTCCCAACTTTTTTGAACAGTGCCATGAGAATAGTTAAACAAAGGACCTATCTGGACAGGCAGATGGGTACTTTTTTTTTAACATTTCATCCAAAAGATGGAACCTCCATCATTGTAGCACACCCCCCAGCACTGCATTAGAGCGTCAGCAGTTTTGTTCTCACTACAGAAGGTATCAACACTACACTGTATTGAACAGCTCAGGAATAGTCATGGCTGCTTTACCTTTAACAAAGTGAAGTTCCAGAGATGTCTTAAGTAGCTTGAGGAAGAATTCAAAGAAAAAGAGCCACGCCTCAATGACTTAGGAGATGATAGTACATTCATTCACCCCCTTTCATACTAGGCAAATTATTTACAGTTGGGAATATGCCAAGTACTAACAGGAAAGTACTCAAACCTTTTCTATTTTTACCTTTAGATAAGGCATTCCCGTAAAGGTTAACAACTTAATTATAGCAGCTTCAGTTTATTTATGTTCCTACCCAAAGTAATCCAACACCATACAGCAAAAACCAGTATCTAGTCTCCAACATTTAAAAATTTAGGACAATACTACAAACAGGGTGGAACTTAGTTAGCTCTCTCCTTATAATAAAGCATTAAAAATGGCCACTTTCTGGTTCCTCATGTTGCCACTGACTTAACTTTCTGTGCATTTGCATATTTGTGCTATGCACAACAACAACTTGCATTTATATAGCGCTCTTCATGTGGCAAAGCATCCCGAAGCCAGGGAGAAAGGGGATGTGACCAAAGGCACGGTCGAAGAGAAAAATCTTCAGGTGTGATCTGAGGAAGTGCCACCATTGTTATATCCTATCACACTCGCAGTGCATGTGTGGAAGCGCCACTTCCTGCACAAAGCACACGCGGTTGAGCATGGGTTCCCTTCGAGTATAAGTCTACTGAGGACTCACACTGACCAGAAGCATGGTACACCCAGCTTCTGGCACTAAAAAATAGATCACTTCCAGGTCATCAGGTTGCTGCTTATGTCACTGCCTAGGGATTGCATGCTTTGTAAACTTTACACTTGGGTTAACAACTGAAATGGGTTATCAGTTGTTGGGGTGGAGACCAGATGGATTATTTTGTGATACTGCTTAAAGCTATATGAGAAGACAGTGTAGTGGACATTCTGGAAGGATGAGCTCTAATGTCTCTAATGTCCATGTCTCCCGCCCAACCTGCCCGCCCATCAGTGGCCGGGCTTTCAGCCTCTCTGCCCCCACACTCTGAAACTCCATCCCACGGTCCCTTTGCCTCACTTCCTCCCTTGCCTCTTTCAAGGCCGGTCTCAAGACCCTTCTCTTCGACCGTGGCTTTGGTCTCCCTCCCACCTCTCTGCCTTCCCTCACCCCTACGCCACCCCTCCCCCATGCTCGGGCCCCAACACCTGACTGTTCAGCGCTTTGGGACATCCTCCCGACGTGAAAGGCGCTCTATCTATTTAATTTTGTTGTTGTTGTAATGGACAGCCTTAAAACGCCCTTTCTCTTTTGAAAAATTACAAGAAAGGCTTGAATAACCTTTCTGGTAATTTCTAATTATCCTGTGATCAAATGTGTGTGGTGTGCTTGTCACATGTATTGCAGTAATGCAGAAGTGGAAGGAAATCACACGGTCACTGGAGTTTATATACAGAAAAGAACCAATTGCGCTGCTTTAGGACAAACAATGCCATCTGTGGTATTGCTGAGGCTTGTTGTACAAGAACATTTGGCATGAGTGGATGGATGTGCATCAGAAATGTGCAGAATATTTAACACACACTCTTAAGACACTGATTAAGCAATGTACTTGTTATTTTTTAATTTTTCCATGCTACTCTTGTGATTTTGTTTAAATGTGGGAATATTGGGTAAGGAAATATTGTGCTTTCTTAGAACTGGAAAGAAATGAATGAATGAAATTCCACAGAATATGTTCCTTGGTTTTCACGCCATTCATAAACCATAGAAAACACAGCATCTCTTGACAATTCAGCAATTCTCCAGTCCTACAATTGGACTGTCAGTCTTGACTGTGAGCTCAAGTTCCAGTCCACACCCTTCATCTCCAAAGATCACAGTGCTACCTCCTGCACCATACTGACACATTCATTATCTGGATTTGCAAATGGCAGCAACTCCACTCTGGAAACTAATCGCACCAGAGCAAGGTTCTTGTGGGCCGGAGTGACGCACTTGGGGTAGGCACAGGAGTTGCTCTTCGCAATTCCAATTCCAATCCCCAATATATTTGCTTGTTTATAACTCTGCCATTGCTGCTCAAAACTGTAGTCTGGACAATATTCTGGATGATTTGGAACTTGTCAAACTGCTCTTGAGTTGCAAGTGAATACAAAAATGTCATCATCATGCATCCTACGCAAATTTGTGTTCTGTGTATTTATAAATTGAACTATAGAATTTGTGTACATTGGCAACTGACCAGGGTAAATAAGGAAGGGCAGAAGCCAATGAAGAGAAGAAGAGTGTGCCTTTACAAGATTGGATTCTTTCATTGTGCTTAAATACCAATCCTGTTTATTTCACAGGCCAACATGAACTCTCTCCTCCAATAAATCTCTCGATAAATTCTTATAATCTGAAGACTATTTTAATTTGGGATTATGACATACCTGAAACATATTTTCGTGTTGAATGCAAGGATTACAGGTCTGTATATTTTGCAACATATTTTTCTAATAACCACAGCACTTTATTTTTCACAATATGTTTCTCCTTTCACAATGACAGGAATTCAAAGCTCTTCACACAGTTGACTGGGAGCCTGAGTTGTGTGTATGGGGGGGTTGGAAGGGGGAGGTGAAGGTTGCCAAAAACCTTAAGGACGAGGAGAGAGAAAGCAAGGCAGAGGGACTATGGGATGGAGCTTCAGAGAGTGGGGATAGAATGGATGAAAGCTCACTTATCTATGGTGGGGCAGATCAAGCATGGGATGTGAAGCAGGCCAGTGAGCGGAGGGAGTGGCCTGGACAGCAATAGTGCAAGGGGTTGCTGAAGCAGGGTAGGGTGAGGCTATGGAGGGATATAAAAATGAGGACAAGGATCTTGAGATTTACTGGGGGATAAGGAGCCTGTGGAGCCAAACAAAGATGGATGTGATGGGTTTATGGAGCCTAGATCAGGAGAGTGCAGGGTATTAGATGGCCTGGTGTTTGTGTAGGGAGGATCAGGGGTGTCTGGTGAGCAGGGCAATCGAATATTCAAGCCTGGACGTAATGAAGGCATAGATGAGGGTGCGTGGCAGAGCAAAGAAGATGTAGTGGTGGAGGTGGGTTCTATTTATTGACAGGAGAGAAAACCAAGTGACTTATAACCCAGTTGTAGGTTTTGAAGGACACTGGGGAGAGAACAAGACACCAATATTCTGGACTAGCTCTGTAAGTTGAAGTGAGCATTCATGCAGGTTGATGTGGTAAGTGCTTAAGTTGAGAAAACAATGACAGAGCCAAGCAGGAGAGCCTCAGCCTTGTTCACATTTAGTGCTAGAATGTTAGAACTCATCCAGGACTTGATATCTAACAGGCAATCAATCAAAACGGCATTGGGTATGAATTCAAGGGTCGAGGCAGAAAGATAATGCTGGGTGTCTTCCACATACATATGGAAGTGGCCCTCATGTCTAAGGATAATGCCACCAAGGGGGAGCATTTAGATAGTGAAAGGAGAGGATTGATGATACAGCCTTGAGGAGCACCACATGTGGTAGGAGAAGGCATTGGGTTAGGTAAAAGTGAAACCAAGAAAGGACAGAACCATGAGGGAGGAGACATGGTTGGAGAAGGATAGAATGGTCAATGGTGTTGAAGAAGGTCTAGGAGAACAAAGAGGCAAAGGGTGTCCTGATTACAGATGGAGAGAAAGTCATTGGTGACCTTAACCAGGGTAACAATGAAAATGAATACACTGCTGCTTGTAGTGCGACTGAAAAGATGTTCTTGTGTTTTACAGAACTTCTCGTTGGAAGCCCTTCCCACCCTGTTCAAAAATTTCTACCCATTATTGCGATGTTACAAAACCATTTACAGAGAACTTGACTGCATCAAGTATGTACTATGCAAAGGTCAAGGCCGTTAAACATTTGCAGGAGTCAGCTTTTGCTTTCACACCGATGTTCAGTTACAAACATAATGGTAAGTCAACTTAGTCATATCATACAACAGCAACAACAACAGCTTGCATGTATACAGTGCCCTTCATGTATGATAATGTCTGAGAACACTTTACAGAGATGGGGTTGGACCCGCAGAAGGGGAAAGAGGAAGGGAAAGAAACGATGACTACATGGAGTCGAAGAAGTAGGTTTTGAGGAGGGACAGATAGACAACAGGTGAGATGGAGGGTACAGGGAGGGAGTTCCAGAGATTAGGAGTGTTGAGTCTGAAAACTCACTTACTGATGGAGGTGCAGATAAGATGAGGGGTGTGCAGCAAGTCAGAGCTGACTGAGCAGATGGAGTGAGCAGAGGAGTGTGGTAGGTGGAGATCAGAGAGACAGGGAGGCGTGAAGGGATTTGTAGGTGAAAGTAACAACCTTGAAGTTGATAATTGACTCCCTGTCTCCCAACCAGGTCAACTTCAAGGTTGTTCAAGTAACTTGGGAGACAGGGAGTCAATGCAGCCTAAGTTCCCCAACAATGCTCTGTGGCAGAGAGTAAAGCAAACCAGATGTTGGGGTGTATCAAAAGATCTTAGCAAGCCAAAATAGTGGAGTAATCCTGCCACTGTATAAATCAATGGTGAGACCACACTTAAAGAGTACTGTGTACAGTTCTGTCACTGAGTACAAAAACAATATTGGAGAAATCAAGAAGTTACAGAGAGGGCAACCTAAATGATTGAGGGAACGGAGGGACTGGACTATGAGGAGCAACTAAGTAAATTGGGCATGATCATGGTTGAAAAGAGAAGATTGAGAGGCGACATGATTGCTGTCTTCAAGATTCTAAAGGGGCAAGACAATATACAACAGCAACAAAATTACATTAATAGAGCGCCTTTCATGTCAGGAGGACATCCCATGGTGCTGAAATATAGATATAGATGATGACAGGCTGTTTCAACTTGTCCAGAATAGTAAAACCAGAGGACACGGCCTGCAATTGAAAGGGGGTAAATTCAGACCAAATCTGTGCAAACACTATTTCAGTGAGCGAATAGTGAACCTGTGGAACAGGCTCCCTATGGAGACGGTTGAAGCAGGGAGTGTTGATTCTTTCAAACACAGATTAGATAGTTTTCTTTTAGGAAATAACTTATGGGATATAGTACATAGGTAGTTTGGGACATATGTGCATGCGACCACCAGAAAGGTGGAATGCAAACACAATGGACCTTGGTCTTTTTTCTCTTATGTTCTTAGTGAGACTGGGGTGATGGACATGCAGAGTTTGGTGCTGGTGAGGATGAGGGCAGTGGAGTTTTGGATAAACTGGAGTTTGTTGATGGTGGAGCTAGGAAAACCAGAGAGAATGCATTTGGGAAGTCCAGACAGGAGGAAATGAAGGTGTGGATAAGGATTTTAGTGGCATTTGATATGATATAGGCGTGGAGACGGGCAATGTGGTGGAAACAGGAGAGCTAAGGATCACACCAAGGTTTTATACTGGTTCAGTGAGTGCAAAAGAGAGGCCAGGGAGGTTGAATAGGTCAGAAGCTAAAGTGAGACTGAACTTTATAACTGTGTAACAACAAATGTAAAGAGCAGCAATCATTTTCTTCTCCCCATATTGTCCAGTGACTTAGAATGAAAATACAACAATACTTAAAAGCATTGCACTGTATTTTATTTTTAGTAAAAAAATGGGACGTCTTCCTGACGTGAAAGGCGCTTTATAAATGGAATCTTGTTGTTGTTGTTGTTGTTGTAGTATACCGCCTCTTCCTGTCACATGACAAGGATATCCACTTGTTATTTTCCTGAACAACTTCCTATTATGTGATGTAAAACTCAATTAAATGGCACAGCAATAGAGAGTGCAGCTAACAGTGAAGAATATTGCAAGGCAAGTGAAATTTTAAGCAGGTTATATGTGAGGTTATACATTTTAGGAGATAGAATAAGAAAAGCAAGTATATGTTAGGTTGTAGAATATTAAAAGGAGTGGAAGATGAGAAGGACCCAGGGGTTAACATATATAAATCCTTATAGGTGGGAAGGCATGTGCACAAAGATGTCAACAGAATCAAATGCAATCTTAGGTTTTATAAATAGGGTATTGAATATAGCCAAACAGGTAATGTTAAAAGTACATAAATCGTTAGTTAGACTGCATTTGGAAGAATATTACGTCCAGTTTTGGTCATTCCACTTTAGAAACGACATCAAGGTGAAAGAGGGGGGCAGAGAAAATTTACTTGGGATGATGCTGCGGACAAGTGGATGATACTGTGGATGAGGTTTGAGCAGAGATTGAAGGAACTGGGACTTTTCTGTTAAAACAAAGATGGCTGAGGGATGATCTGATAGAGGCGAGTCAGTGATAAGTGGGCATCAATTTAAGATAATTAGTAAACAAGCAAATGGGGAGATTAGGAGAATTTTTAGAGTTGTTAGGATACGGAATAACCTGTTGGAAAAGGTAGTTGAGGCAGATTCTGTATTAGCCTTCAAGAAGGAGCTAGATAAATATCTAAAAAGGAATATACTATAGGGTATGGGATAGAGCAGGTAAATGGGACTTAACGGATATTGATACACTCTCCTAAACTTTTCATAGAGATTTCCTATTATAAGTAAAAAATTGGAAAATCTATGAACAGTGCATGTTAAAATCTTCTGTCTAGTAATTTAGTGTATATAGTCATTTCATGTATATAGTCATTTCATCCACAAAATACACACAGCAATATAATTTTACAGTATATCCTGTGAAGCGTTATGAGACATCTCAGTGACTTAATAACACACCATATCAAATGCAAGGATTATTATTATATTATAATTTGGGAAATTAGAGGAATAGGCATATTTCAACTTCAAAACTCTATGGATGACCATCTATTCCAATATAACAGGTACAAGCACATTATAAGCAATGTGTCAGCTTGGCTCAGCACCTGGCAGAATTCAGGATTACTAGAACATAAAGGACTGCCCAGACCTCAGAGCCTCTGCTGAACCTACACTAGGAATTACTTTGCCCTATGAAGAATTCTTTTTTTCAATGTTGCAAAGGATTTGACATTTTCTTCAATTCTACCCTGTTTTAATCTTTTACCCAGGCACAATCGGTCCTCCTACTACACGTGTTATGGTGTACACACCACTGCAAGCAACAGTGAAATGTGAATATCCCCTTGTTGCAAACCTGACGACAAAGAATGGCTTCAAAGTAAAACCCAAGTTTACCTGTAATATTTGTATTTGGCCGGAGACATCACATAAAAAGGTCTGTTCATGTAATGTTCATAAGAACATAGAAACAAACAACGTGAATGTGGTCCATCTGCTAACTTCCAAAGAAACAAACGATCTGCATTACTTATTTTCTCACATATCTCAATCATTTTTTTGTGAAATAGCCAACCAGCTCTCTCTTGAAACTGCTGATATAAAATGTCTCCAATGCTTCTCTGGATTGTTTACTCCACTTATTCACCACTCCCTGTGTCAAGTAATGTAACTGTCCCTTGTCTCTCTTTCAAACTGTCCTGGAGAACTGCAGATCCACCTGGCTCAAGGACCAGACTACCATGTTTCCTTACTATACTTTGTAACTATGTTAATCAATTTATTTGGAATCTCCTTTCTTAAGACATGTGTCTGTTTTCGTAATTGAAGGGGCTTGATTATATTGAAAGCAATTTGTGTGCTGCATTCATAGAACTGAACAATTTCTTTAGGATTTGTAGAAGCAATTTCTGGTAAAATTGTTTAATTCAGAACTTTCAAAGTCTTACATCCTTCTTTAATAGTCAGCACAGCTCAAAGTTAGTGTGTCAAAATATGTGTTATGTTTTGATTGTTTAAGCATTGTTTTTAACCAATGTATGTGTTTGTGTACTGATAATCTGGAGCTAAATGGAATGAAAATGATTAATATATAGCTATAAAATTGTTAATCTTCCTTGTTTTATCAAACAATGTTCCAGCCACAGAGAATATGTAAAATTACAAAGTCAAATTGGACAATGAACATATCCCAATCTACTTGGTGTGTGTCTGCTCAAGTTAATTCAGTGAGTTGGGAGATGAAAGGAATGTGGTCAAAACCTCAGTGTTTCAAACATTCAACACAAGGTAATATGTTTGCAAATGTGTGAAATGCCTTGAAACATTTCAATGACAATGAACTTATATAGCCTAAGATGATATTCAATGAAGTGCTGGAGATGTACTGCATTGTTGGAGGTGTGGTCCTTCAGTTGAGATGTTAAACCAAGGTCCTGTCTGCCTGTTCAGGTGGATGTTAAAAATCCCATGGCTCTATTCGAAAAGAGGAGGGTATTTCTCCCAGTGCCTCGGTCAACAATCTCCCAAATGAAATTGGTCATTCACTTCATGGCTGTTTGTGGAACATTTCTGTGCCCAACTGGCTGCCGTGTTTGCCCACACTGAGCCAAGCTAGCTGGTCTGTCATCAGCACTGTCCTGGAGTACTGCAGATCTGCCTGGCTCAGGAACCAGACTACCAAGACTTCCATTGTGGGTTGACTCCATTCTCACATTCCATTGCCAAGCTTGTCACCTTGGAACCAATTCAGCCCTGCTAAGCACCTCCTTCCCTCCCCCCACACTCCCACCACCATGGAGGATAGGCACTAGTTGGTCATTTGACATCTAACAAGTGCTTGCAACCTCCATGCACACCATTGACAGTAGATAGCAAGGGAGGTTTGAAATAGTGAAGCAATTGATACTTAACTAGTATACCATATTTTCAAGAAGGAAATATAATTTAAGTGATGGAAGAATAGTAGCAAAGTGAAATTGTACTGTATTGAATGATATCTGAAAAATAAGATTTACAAAATCAACTTGAATGCATGACATACTGCATAATGCATGACATACTGGTTCACATCAAAACTTCAATAGGAAAATTAATGCTAATTATTTTTAAATGACAAAGCCCTGTATTTGGTAGCTTGTGAATCAGTGTTGTCTTTTTTTGTTTTAAAAAGATTTATTCAATCGCCATTAACGCTTTTGTTATTTTTCTCTGTCTTTCAGAATATCTGATTCTATTTCTAGTGCTGATTGCTCCAATTGTCACACTACTTGTGATAGCAAATGTGTTCCTTCTTGGAAAGTTTCTAAGGAAGGAGCAAGTTTTGCCAAAGTCTTTAGTAAGTTTGTTTTCTAATTTAAATTTCCGACGTCATGGACACCTCAGCGGGTTAGTTATACTATCCTTCATGTTTGAGATATGGATTGAGTCACGGACTGATATGTATAGGCGGAGGGTGGCTTGAGCTAGAGGGGGTTCAGTTCCCCCGTCCCCCCCAAATCTATCTACAGCTCACCTCTTTAAGGGGAGCTGGGAGGGGAAAGCCCTGAACCTGAGGAGAACCACAGACAGGCCTCCGAGCAGCCCCAACCCACCCACAGGACCCCTCTTGCCCCCCCTCTCAACTCGTCAGCAATGCCCACCCACTTCCAGTCCAGTGGGCTTCTTGTTGGGGTGGCTTCACCTCTGATTGGCCAATAGTCAAACTAACAGCTCATCTGTCTTCAAGGGGAATGATCTTTTAACTCAGTTTTACACAGACCACCCCGCACCCCCAAGAATATTTTCACCCACAACTGTTAGGTTGAAAGTCCCCCTTCTTTCACCCACAAAATATCTTGTCAATTCACTTTACAGTATATCTTTAAAGAGCTTTGAGATGACTCGAAGATGTGATAAGGCGCTATATCAAATGTACAGATTCTCTGATATCTGTAAAGGGCCTAAATGAGATAAACTTATGAACTCAGCAAGTTTCCTCTTAGTCTGAGCGCGAACAAAACCACATCTTCACTTCTTGATAATCTGACTTGAAGCATTGCCTGTCAGATGGCCCAGGCTCAAGGCCCCATGGCTGATCGGAAATCACTTATTCTTTTAAATATGTAATGGAGGCGGGAGAGGGGGTGGTCAATGGTGATATTATGATGGTGTTAATTGAACGAGGAACTCTTAAAAAGCTGCATATGTATTCCATATATTGAACATAGGTTTGTGAAGAGGATGGCATAAACAAAGAACAGAATTACAGTGAGGCCCAGTTATAATGGGTTTCTGACTTGGTTATCCAGTCTGAATCCAGTTGCAGTGTGGACTCTATACACAGTTGGCCTGTTCACTTCCTGCACTCCATCCGGCCAGCTCTCACACTAAAATAAGTTAGTCACATCCCATCACTTCCTGCTTTGCTCAAACGCAAGATTCAGTAAGTGATGTTTTCAGCAACTGATGTCTTCGAATTTGACTATTTTTTGCATGGGAACTGCCCAGGACTCAGGAAACAGCCTACTGTGTGCACGTATTGTTAAACTTATTGTTGCCTTGACGTAGCACATGATGCGATTTTTTAAATCAACAAAGGCTTAATTATATTAACAATTCGTTATTCAAGGTTACCGAATATTTACTTACTCAATATTAATAGATTTGTAAAAGTTGAGTTTTTTTTTATCCATACATGGATCATGAAATTTTAATCTTTGTTTCCTAGCTACTCATTGTAAAGGGCATGCATCCATACATAGATATGAAGACTGAGAAGGACAGCATATCTGTTGTAATTAAGCATGAGAAAGTGATTCCCAATGAATGTGACATTTTCTACGAGGAAGCAGAAAAGTCCAGTGCAAATCCAGAGAGCAACGAGCAACATGTGCCTGGTCATAAATATGCTGAGAAAGACTGGATGTATGACAGACCTCAACTTATATCGGATGCATATTAACCCTTTCATTTCCAGTCATATCATTTTCCACCGTCAGAGCTCCAAATGCTAGGAAACTGCAGCCACGTGGAAAGCGAATATGAGCATCAGCAAATTAAACCACAATTGCACCATATAGAGCATGTAGTGAATGAGTTAAACAATTTCACAAAGGATTTGTTAAGTGGTGACAAAATTATACAATGTTCAACGTTTCAATGATATTTTAGAATTGCTGAATGAGAACCTCCCTCGCATTAAATTCAGTGAGGCAGCGATTCTTCACTCTCGGCTCCTGTTAACCTTTAAACCAAAGTCCTAACAGGGAGGGTGGCTCTAGCTGGACAAGCAATGGAAAGCTTACCACACCATGCTTTCTCAATCTCAATGACAAACTATGCAGTTTTAGCTGGTTAAACTCCAGCAGTACCCCAACACACATTCTGGGGACTCTGAGCTTTGGCTCTTGCCAACCTGAGCCTAATTCCCTTTTAGATAAGCAGGATTCATCCTTCTGTGGAGAGCCTGTGCATTCCATTCAGACACAGGGAAATTTACATATATAAAACTCTCAATCTGGTTTGGATTCTCTTTAAAATGGTGATGGGTTTCCGTATTTATCAGATACCTGGCTAACTAACAAAAAAAATTACATCAAAGCATTCAATCTATTATCAGTCAAGTAGTAAGCAAAAGTCTCAGAATAAATATGTTTTTTATGCCTTGCTCATACTGCTTAAAGTGGAAGTAGCGTGATATCATTTCTAGCAAGAGAGCATTGGAGAGGGGAAAATGGCTATGCAATATCCTCATTACATTTGCAAGGCACTGTAAAAAAATAATTTCCACACAATCACAGGGTTAAAAAGTTGAGTTAAGCCATTATTCTCCAAACTGGCAGTGCAATGTTGGAATCCACGGAGTGGCAGTTCATCGGCCAATTCAGTGGTACAGCAACAGATTCTGATTGAATTGATTTCAACATGAAAAAGGAGACGGGTGGGGGGGAGTGACCAGAGTTGCTCTCAATGGCACATGAGAGCACTCTCAAATGAAATACACTCTTTGGTGTTACTAAACTACATGAATGTCTCTGATAATATCAAAAAGGTTGTTTATAAGTTATCTATTGGATCAGCGTATGGAGCTGATAGCAATTCATACCACTGCACGCACTTATGCTGCTACCAAACTACTGTCTTGGCGATGTGACTCCTGTGCAATTTACTTCTGAACCAAGCTGCTACATTCCCACTATGCACTTCACTGAATCATTACAGAATTTAAATCCAGTATAAAAAATATATTTCTAGTACAAAAAAGAGAGGCAAAATTCCAGTCTTTGAATGTGTAAATAAATCAGTATTTTGTAGACCTTTTGAAAGTATGCAGTGAATTGAATAAATTGTCCGTGGAAGCAAATTTTAAAAGTGTAAGGTAGTAAGAAAAATTGTCAAAGAATGAACTGATCACAGGTAGACTGTTCTAATATTTCTTTCAGACAAGTTAAGTGTCTCAACGGGGAGTTAATGGCAGCATCAGTGCACAGTACTATACAGCCAGATGTGTGGAGTGGAACAGAGATGCCTTCTTCATGTTATGGCAAAGCCATGAAGCAATGTTCAGACTGAATTTTTACTGAAGACTGGGTTTAACTTAAATAATAGTATATAATTAGATAACTGGACATTACTAGGGTGAAACACGTGTAAAGCAGCCAGCTATCGTACTGATACTGTAACAGAATTTTCAGACATCTGCTACCATGTGGAATCCTGTAGCTCAGTAGTTAGAGCACTCACCTCGCAAGCGAGAGACCTGGGTTCGATGTCCAGCAGGGCGAAATGTTGGGCAAGTTTTCTTACTCCTGTTTAACTAGCAGTAAGTAGGAACCCGGTTGTTAGTTGATTGGCGGATCGCTTTTCCGGGGGTAATAATCCCTCAAAAATAAAAATTTGGTCACTCAATCCACGACAGCTTGTGGGACACTTCTGTGCGCAATTGGCTGCTGCGTTTCGCCCACAAATATACAGTCAATTCACTTTAGAGTCTATACTGTGAAGCGCTTTGAGACGTCTAGAAGACGTGAAAAGCGCTATATCAATTGCAAGGATTATTATTATATTCTGTGAAGCATTTTGAGACGTCTAGAAGATGTGAAAAGTGCAATATCAAATGCAAGGATTGTTACTACCATATAAGTTTTTTCATCAAATAATATCCTTATTGATAAAACAGTGCTTGAACAGCAGAACTGGCATGTAAAAAACAGATAAACCTCCTTACAGTATAACCTGTACTTTGAACTCACATAGTCCAGGCTGACACTCAATACTTGTTGGAGGTGCTGTTAAACTGAGTCCCAACTGCTTGTTCAGGTGGATATTAAAGATATTAAAGATCCATTGCACTACTCAGAAAGTCAAGGATGCTTCTCAAGGATGCTTCCAGCTGACAAATAAAATGAGTGGGACATCGGTGTATGCAAAATAGTTGCCGAGTACACCTACAAAATACAACTGGCAAACCATTTGACCGTTTTTATCAATGAAACAAATCACTAAAAATCAAAAAAATCAAAATGACCATCAATATTACCCAACATAAAATCAGAAAAATAAACGTTGATTTCTACCAACCATAATTGTAAAGGAATAAGAACAACTTTATTACTTACTACATTTTTTTTGTTGAAACATAACCAAAGGCCTTTGAATTAATTTAAAGTGAACAGCATTATTTGTGCGTGGACCCTCCACAGCCAGACATTAAATTAGTTTTGTTAAACAGCCCCTTCATATTTTTCTGCAATTTTAGCCTCAATTATTGCTTTCCTCTCCCCTTGGAATAGATATAGATATCTATAGATAATATAAAATATCCAGGCAATGAGAATGGGCTGTTTGTGAAGGTGCATGTGTGTGTGGGGGGGGGGGGGGGGGGGAGCTGGGATGGTAAATGTGTTTTAAAAAGTTGCATTCTTAGTAGCTAATTATTTGTTTTCTTGATTTTCTTACAATTTTGAAATTACTGTCATTTTCTATATGTACAAAAAGCAAAATAAAGGTGGTTTGGCTTCATCTTATTTTGTATGATTTTGGTATTTTTAATATTCTACACACACATAGGGGAGGAGGGATTAGGAGCGGGGTTTAGTAAACTTGGAGGCTAGTATAGAGGAAAATAGCAACATAAACTAGTTGGGCTACAGGGTCTATTTCTATGCTCTAACCAGCCAGAGTAATTCTATGTATCCCATGACATTCTCCAAACTTTAATGTTGCAAAAGGACAGCCCTAAACAGAAACTTTCACTGACGTAGAAATGTCTATTCTGACATCTGTCTGGACGAATTCCCAGTTTAATAAGAAGTACACTCACCTCTGAGTCAAAAGGTTGTGGGTTCAAACCCTTCGTTAGGACTTTGACCCACATAGTCTAGGCTAGATTGACACTCCAATACAGTGCTGGATGAGTGCAAATTTCCTGCAGCTGAACATTGACAAGACAGAAGCCATACTCTTTGGCTCCCTTCAATGTCTGCTATCCTGCGGTTCAGTCCTCCTCACACTCCCCAATCTCTCTCTGGGGTCTGACCTCCTCACCCTCCCAGATCTCTACCTAAGATGTGATTTCCTCACCCTCCCTAATCTCTCCGTAAAGTCTGACCTCCTCATCGTCCCTGATCTGTGTAAGGTCTGACCTCCTAACCCTCTCTGATCTCTCCCTAAGGTCAAACCTCCCCATCTTCCCCAATCTCTCCGAGATTCACTGAACCTGATTACCAGCTATCCTTCATACCCCACATCCGATCCCTGACCGAGACCTCCACCACCGTCACATTGCCGTGTCAGGACAGCTTTCCTCAACTTCTACCATATTTACCTCATTCCAAAAGTTTCCAAAACCATTTTCCACGCCTTTTTCATCCCCCGCCTCGACTCCTCGAACCATTCCTCGTCAGTCTCCCTTGCTCCACTATTCACAAAATTCAACTAATTCAAAACTCCGCCGCTCGCATTCTCACCCACATAAACTCCATATCTCCATTACCCCAATCTTTGTCAAACTCCATTGTCTCCCCGACACAGAGCAGATTGACTTCAAGATCCTTAATCTTGTATTTAAATTCCTTCAACCCCTGGCAGCCCCCCTATCTCTTCAACCTGCTTTCTCCCTGCAGTACCAACTGTTGCCTCTGCTCGACTGGCTCCAGCCTCCACCTTATCCCATCGACCCTCCACCCCACCATCAGCGGCTGTGCTTTCAGTCACTACACCTCAAAGCTATGGAACTCCCTCCCTCAATCCCTTTGCCTTGCCCCTTCTTTCCTCATTTTCAGGTCGTACTTGAAGACTTCCTCTCTGACCATGCCTACAATTACCTTCCCCCTCCCCCAGCTAGGAATTGGACTCCACCATTGTTAAGCGCTCTGGGACGCTGTCTGGTGTCAAGGGCGCTATATAAATGCAAGTTGTTGGGGGAGTACTGATTTGTTCAAGGTGCCATTATTCAGATGAAGTATTAAACCAAGGTACCATCTGCCTGTTCAGGTGGATGTTAAAGATTCAATAATAATAATCCCTCCAAAAAAACCAAAAAACAATAATAAAAAAAAATTGGTCATTTTCAATCTACGACTGTTTGTGGGACATTGCTGTGCGCAATTGGCTGCCGCGTTCGCCCACAAATATACAGTCAATTCACTTTACAGTGTGTTCTGTGAAGCGCTTTGGGACGTCCTCCCGACGTGAAAAGCGCTATATCAAATGCAAGGATTATTATTATTATTATTATTATTATTATTATTATAAGATTCAATGGAACTATCTGAAAAGAGAAAAGAGTTTCTCCCGATTTTCTGGCCAACAATTCATCAAATAAAATTGGCCATTCTGTTCATGGCTGATGTGCAAATTAGCTGCAGCGGTCATTCATTAAAATGAGTGGAACAATTAGTGGAAATTGAATCCAGTTGGTGTAAACTTGTACCACTGTTTTTGTTTTGATTGTTAACCTTGAATATTAAAAAATAATAAATTGGTCACTCAATCCACGACTGTTTGCAGGACACTGCTGTGCGCAATTGGCTGCCGCATTTTGCCCACAAAATATACAGTCAATTCACTCTACAATATATACTGTGAAG